TGTCTCTTGTGATCTTTATTTCGTGTCCAAGATATATGTATTTTTCCACCAGCTCTACTTCGTTGTCTCCAATATTGATATTTCCGCTAGGTATTAGGTTTGTCATGAATTTTGTTTTGGAGATTTTTATTTTAAGACCCACACTAGCACACACTAACTGAAGTTCATGTAGCACTGTACATATCTCCTTGAGGTTACCGAGAACAAAACTATGTCGTCTGCGAATTTCAAATTTTGTTTCAGAAATGAACATATTGTTTTTAAAATATAAAATAAAAATGTAGTTTTTTGACTTTTCTTAGTGTAGAATAACTAGAACAGTTACTTTATCTTTTAAACGCGACACCCTGGCGTCTGACGTCGAACCCTGTTAAAATATTTTTCACACCTAAATAAAATAAAGGTAATCTTCCCGTTTACGCATTATGTAGTGGTTTATCAGCTCAGTTTAAGTTTACACAAGGCCATGGAGCCATCACAGCGAGTAGTTAAGAACTCGCAATTCACGTATTAAATATTTCTCTCCGCCGAAATCGGGCATTTTCTCATAACGGTATTTCTTTTACGTGTTATAAAGAAAGAGTACATTTGATATTGTATAGTAAGTTATGGCCGTGTTGCGCCTTTCTACTCTTAAAAGATTTAATTATAAATCGATAAAATTAAAAGTGATTTTATTTCTCTGGAGCTGTATTTGCTCACGTTAGGAATCCTTATCCTTCAACGGTCACTGAATAAACAAACCTATGGAGATGCATCCATTCACAAGTCCTTTGAAGTAAGGCTTGGAATCAAAAGATTTCCAACTCTCATGATATAGGTAGCCAGTTACAAGGCTCCCTCAAATTTGTTAATCTTCAAATTAACCGTCAATGTTTAGGCCTTTCTCTTTCCAATTTTTTACAAGCATATTCTAGTACTGCGATAAACAGTGAAGGCGATAAGGTATCACCCTGGCGGACTCCTCTGCTGATTGGAAGGTGATCCGTGTTTTCATGTAGTTTCACAGACATAGTTGCGTTCTGGTATGTATTGTAATTACTATAAACGCTAAAAAACGAAGTACATGCTAATTACAAAAAGACCACAAAATATACATCACCTATTGACAATTCAATGGTAACGTGATAGAAAAAGTAGAAAAATATCAGTACTTGAGAAACTTTGATCAATGAAACCAATGATCATACTGTAGAAATAAACAGGCGAATACAGATTTCCAGATCAGCATTTATACGAATGAAGCCACTCCTAACGTGCAAAAATCTAAATTTGGAGATCAGACTACGTACCATTCGCTGTTATTTATTTTCAATATTATCATGTGGAGCTGAGACTTGGACTGAGGCCTTTGAACTCTGGTTATACCGCAGAGTATTGAAAATATCATGGACATTACAAATAAAGAAGTACTGGAGAGGGTTGGTAAAGAAACAGAACTAATCATTACTATACAAAGCAGAAAACTGAAATACCTAGGCCACGTGATGAGGGGACCAAAATATGAAATTTTGAGACTCATAATACAGGAAATTTTCAAGGAAGAAGATCTGTTAACCGAAGGCACAACTCATGGTTAAAGAATGTACGTGATTGGTATCAATGCAGATCGATTGATTTGTTTAGAGCAGCAAGTTCTAAAATACAAAAAGACATGATTGCCAACCTTCGTACGGACACGGCACTCTAAGAAGAATGTATTGTTAAATAAACTTGTCGTAGCAGCGCTGCTTTACTTAGGCATACCTTTTAGGTTATAAACATTTATAATAACATTTTTAAGTCATGCGCTAGCAAGTAGGGTGACTGAAACGATGGTGAAAAAAGACAATCTGTAAAAAAAAAGAACCCTGTATGACTAATAGGAACCAAGATAGCAATTTTTTATATCATATTTCCATTTATGTAACAATAAAACACTAAAAACTTTGTTTTCGAAACTTCAACAAAATTTATTATTTTAAAAAAGTTTTCAGTGTTTTATTTTTACATAAAATGAATTTCCATCAAGTAGCGGTCGAATCCATCAATCATATTTCCATTGTTTATCAACATTAAGCGGTGAAAATTAAACAAGTTATTAACTAAGAACTAAACTTCGTGATCCATCTTATGGATGGCATATACCGAGAAGGCGTAAAACGGTATAATCCACTAAAAATAGTCTAGTCTTTGTGCTGAAATTTGTGATATTACTATATTAGATGTATTTAGATTTATATCTACGATTGCTTTAAAAGTAAGTTGTGGACCTGGTAATATATGTCTTTTGTTCATATTTAATTGTAGATTTATTCTAAATATATCTTATATATAAGGGAATAAAAATAGATGGAGAATATCTAAACAACTTACGTTTTCGCCGATGATATACTTATAATAGCTGAAGATCTAGGTATGGCAAGAGAGATGGTACAGGAACTCGTTGTGGCTACAGAAAATGTAGGTTTAAATATAAATATCTCGAAAACAAAAATCATGACCAATTTCGTATCCAACCAGAACATCAGTATTGGTGGGAAAGAAATAGAACTCGTACCTGGGACATGAAATTATGATTGGCAGGGATAACCAGACCCATGAACTGAAGAGAAGAATCGGCCTTGGGTGGGCAGCATTGGAAAACTGAGAGAAACTTTTAAAAGTGAGCTGCCCACATGCCTAAAGAGAAAGGTATTTGATCAGTGCGTCCTCCCAGTCTTGACGTATGGAGCAGAAACACACCTTAAGAAAAGCAGCAGCTACCAAACTAAGAGTCACGCAGAGAAGAATGGAGCGGTTAATGTTAGGAATAACAATGCGAGACAGAATAACCAACGAAGACATCAGGAGAAGAAGCGGAGTGACTGACATCATCGAGAAGATAGCCAGACTAAAATGGAGATAGGCAGGACATATAGCCAGAATGACAGATGGGCGATGGACAAAGAGGTTATGGGAATTGAGGCCAAGGGAAGACAAGAGAAGCGTCGGTCGACCACCTACAAGATGGACTGACGATTTAAGAAGACTCAATAAAAACTGGATAAGAGCGGCGCAAGATAGACGGGGTTGGAAACATGAGGAAGAGACCTATGTTCAGCAGTGTACTTTTGAGGCTGGATGATGAACGAGCTATACCTAAAATTTCAGTTGTCGCTAAATCTTTTGAAAGGATTGTAGCTGCAAAACTTGGTCCATTATTGAATCCTGCTTTAATCTCCGGCCAACATGGTTTTATTTCAGGACGTTCTACTACTACTAATCTTTTAGTTTTACAAGAATTTTTGTTAGATGTTCTTGAAGGGTATAATCAGATTGATGTCATATTACCCTACTTTTCGAAGGCACTCGATAGAGTTAATCTTACTATCCTAATATCTAAACAATATAATGCTGGTTTACATGGAAGATTATTAGGCTGGATGGAGAGCTATGTCACAGATAGAACTCAAGTTGTAAAAATTAACCAATTTTTGTCATCTACTATCAATGTAACTTCTGGTGTTCCATAGGGTAAACACTTATCTCCTCAACTTTTTAATTGTTTTGTAAATGATATAAAAAATTGTGTTTGTCATACTAATGTTCTTCTCTATGCTGATGAGTAGTAGTAAATGCAGTCCTAAAAAGAAACGGATGGTAAAAAAAGAAAAATAAAACAAGCGGCTCTAATTATGCTAAATGAGACAATTGTGTCGCAAATTCATCGGCAGAATGTAGTGGGATCTGGTTACCAATATTGAAAGAGGAAGTTATTAATAAGAAAATACCAGTATTAGCAAGTCAGTAACATATAGAGGATACATTATTTATGTTTTTTAAATAACAAACATATAAAATCAGGAATTTGGTGTTTATTGAAGGTAAACTAAATGCACGACCAAATACTTACCATGTCGGGATAGTATTATGAGGTTTTTTTCCTGGTTTTTCCCTCATAATTTACTATGGAATCACTAACAGGAGAATTTTACTGTCATCATGGCATGTGCTTGTCTTTGTAAAGACGAATTACATGCTATGATTTTTTTCTGACTGATATTCTCAAGTTAAAGTTGATTTCATGTAATCGAATGAACTATCTTATAAGTACAAGTCGTCATAGGAGCGCAACTCAACAATATTGGCAATATCATTTTAAAGTCGTCTACTTTAAAATGCATAATGTATGTCTGAATTGTCAATATAAATGAGTCAGATAAAATTAAATTATTAGAAGAATTTTTCGCTAAGTAGCCAAAAAAAAAATTTGTTTAATTTACTAATGTTTGTATTTTGAGAACGATTTCCGAAGTAAATTGAAACGTCAATAAACGTACTTTAACCTTTAATTGTGGCTCATTCACAATTAAATAGAAACTAATTTAAAATGCCACAAGAAAATAGCTTCAGAAAAATACCTTTTTATGTAATCAATTTGCGTTTTAATAGTTTTAGCTATATTTAAGTTGATTTATTGTAAATAAATTGCAAGTCCGTAAATAACTATTATCATCTATTATATTACATTAAACTAATGGTACTCGTAAAATACCCCATGTCTGATCTCTTTTTTTATTAGGATGGAAATTTTAATAACATAGCAGAACCTTGTTTTTTTATTTGCGGTAGCTTCATAAAATAATAGATTATTGTAATATTTTTGTCTTTTAAAAAAATCGGAAATTCCTAGAAAAATTAACTGCATAGTTAATTCTTCCAAAAAAAAGTTGAATTTTACTTTTATTTCATAGAAAATATTTAAATTTTATTGATTATTTTTCACAGATTGAATGGCATATAAAGAAACTATTCTTTTTTTTATTGTTAATTTTTTTCCTTAATGTAAACTTATATAAGGCACAAGGTATATAAACTGGAATTAAATGGAAAAAGAACAATATTTTCAAATAGTGTTTTTTGAGATGGAATAAACAACTTAAAATACAAATTTGATTTGTTTTCGTAGTAGTTTGATTTGCAATTCATTCACAAAAAAGTACTTAAAAAGCCTAGTCGAGTTTAAAAATCTCTCTTACTTTCAAGAACTCCTTTAAGTCCTTCTACTGATACTTCTTTTAAATTTTTTACCCCCTTATTCTGGGGTTTGCAAGTTATCACAGTCACATCATGTCCTCGTGCCGCCAATTCCGACGCTAAGCGATATCCCAAACTAAAGTGACTATGAGCACAATAACTAAAAACACCCAGTATTTTGTAACCACTAGTTACGGCTACGCTGCACATCAAAAGTGCAGCTATTGCAGCGAGTTTCATGTTGGCACGATGAACCGCGACTTACTATGTATTTTTATTTTTACACTACTACGCGTTATCTCGCAATGAACTAACTAGCTAACGGTCCAGATATTGTTCGACTGTCTCAAGTATAAAATATAAGTTATAAAACTGTTTTGTATATACAAGGGGTATGTCATAAATAAAGAGCGATGGGTTTTTTTTTAAATATTTTATCGTACGAATTTGAGAAACGTTATAAATAAATTTTAAAAATAATAATAATTATTATAAATTGTATTATAATAATAATAATAATTTAATAATAATTAATGTATTGTATTAAAATATTAATTTAATAATAATTAATAAAATTCTGTACAAGAAAGCTGGAATATTTAGGCCACATTACCAGATGACTGACTGATTTCTGACTCAACCTCGCAACTCAAAATTTCGCAACCTCATGACGGTGCGTTTCCTCGTTTGCGACCACCTCGTATTGAAGCTTAGAATTCATTTAATCGTTAAAATCGTGTGTGCAATAACCTCGTAAAAATACTCGAAACAATATATCGTTGGTCTAGCGCACAGAGGTGCTAAGTGCAAAATCGCTAATTCGAGTAATTGCAAAAACAAAGTTTATAACATCATATAAAGTCAAATAAGTTTTGTTTTTAGGGATTTATTTGTTTTTTGTAAACTATACACAATTGTTCAATAATGTGATTTAAAAAAATTGAAATAAATCTCATAGTTGCTTTAGAAAAAACATATTTTCAAAACAAAAGTTTCACTTAACTCATATGTGTTACTAGTTAATTTAATTCACTAAATAAGAAAACATTAGACTTAAGACCATTTTAATATTAAAATATTATAAATTCTCAAACAAAACACAAAATACTCTTTAAAAATAATTACATTGAAGATTAGTCCCCCTCTTTGTGTACTGCTAACTGCGTTGAATCCGATGTCGATGGAAGACTAATAATGAAATCTCTGTATTCTTCGGAAATAAGTTTTTTATTGAGTAAATAAACAAGGTCTTCCTTCTTTTTATCAGAAATAGGAATGCGACTGGAATATTTAGATTTTAGCTGTACAGAGGTCCAGTTCTTTGTTCGGCCGAATCGTTTTTTGCTTTGTGTAATATCAAGTTCCAAAAAAGTTTCTGATGATAGATCGTACTTGTATTGAATTGTGAATGCCTTTGCTTTCTGAAATCGCAACCACTTGATTTTAAGCCATTCAGCCTTGTCCCCAACATAATTTACAGTACTGTTTGTCATAATGTTATCGACAAGATTCTGTAAATTAAAAAAGTCTGAATTCTTTAAATGAATAACTTGGTATGGTCTAGGTTTCATTCTAGCAGCTGAAATCAATAGACACCACTCCCGAGTGTTATAAATTTGTTTATGTGCCCGAGCCCTCTCCATTGTAGAATGCATTGAATCCGCTTCCAGGTACGAATGACCTGATTCCATAAATTTTAAGTCAATGATTTGAAGATTATTAATTGTATTGACGGCATAGAGCATCGCTGTGGCAACGTTTTTATTTCTGTTTTGACCTTCGCATGTGTCAGAAAAGGAAGCTACGTGGCTTACAGTTTTGGGTAGGTCTAGTAGATATTTAGGCAGACATAGAGTTTCATCCCAGACATAGCAATAACCGTCTCGAGTAGATCCATCATAAATTGTAAAATTGTAAACATTTAGATGGCTCTTGTAATATATCTGAGAATCACCAGCAAAGGAAACGGGTAGAATAGCTTCCAGATCGAATGTTATTGCACTAAATGTTTCCCCAACTGCTGCCATTTTTTATCGTCTTCTTTCATATCCATCGACTGTTTTTCGGCTTTTTTATGCTTTTCATACTCTTCTCTTAAGGGACTTTTTCCTTGGCCTGCTTGAATGCATTACACACCGAACACTGATCCTTTTTTGGACGATAAAAGGCAAGAGCTGGTTCAAAATCATGAAAAATACTTTGGTACACAAACTTTGAGACCGGACTTAAACTATTAGAAGTGCAAAATTCTTGAATCGGTACATGATGGAAATGTTTTAAATCTGCATTTAAATAGTTTTTAGTTGAATCACGCCTGCAGTAGTGCGACTCAATTCTTGGAAATGAGTTAATATGATCCTTAACTTGCTGCCGTTGTATCTCAGGAGTTGCATTGTGGGGTTTGCTATTCTTTCTTTTAACATAGCCGACAAAAATTCCCCTTATTCATCATTGCTTCAACACACTTCTCGACGACTTTACGAGATATAGCAAACGTGGCTGTAAAAAACTTGAGGCAGACTCGATGTCTTTGCCCATTATTATCTATTAAATGATATAACCTTGACTCTTTTCGATTTTTTGTTATGGGAGTTTGTTTGCTTCTAGATACATTCACTATTTGTATCAAAGAACTCAACAGCGTTTTTTGTCTCGTATAATCTGCTAAGCTGTAGTAATCTGCACACAGTTGTGCCCTCTACTCTTCAGAAAATAGTTTTTGACATTTAAACCTGCACTTAGAGCAATCTAAGTACCGAAACTTCTGCTCTTTGTATTGTTGATTAAAAATGAATAAACTCAGTGCAAGAACTTTGAGAATAGTTAAATTAGTGGGAAGAAAGGAAAAAAATTAAGGATCTGTATCAAGCGCGGTAAGCAGGGGCGGCTGGTCCTATGAGGCAGGTGAGGCAGTGCCTCACCAGTATTAATCGACTATTTACGTTCTTTAACTACAATTTAACTTTTTGGAATTTTCTAAATAACTTTATTTTCATTATGATAAAAAATTAAAATAGGTACACCCCTGATGTCTTATCTTTGTATATTTCTTCATAATCTACGGGCCGGACAAGGGACAAGCTTAAACCACAAAATATTAAATAAACAACGGCGCCTATCATCTGTGCATCTCATTCTCTCTTTAAAAATTATAGCCGAGGCAAGCCTCACGGCATTGCTCTGTCTAGCATATTAGACATCACATTATGTAGCGAAATTCAACATGATTTATTTATTTTCTGCCCACTATTTCACCGAACAGGAGAGGCAAGCCTCTCTCGTTTGGTGTAGTTCTTTTAATTAGCAGCGTTGCCGTTTTGGTACAAAGGTACCCAATTCGCTACATTTTTTCCCTCGGGTATAAAAGTACATTTTAAATAAAACATAGATTTTTATTTGAAAATTGTAACAACATTGGAGTATTTTCCTTTAGTAGATGGTACTATACATATTGTTCTATTGTTTTCCGATTTAACAAACAATATTTTTTTTCTATGCATTTACCAGATTAGCAACTTTGGTACATTTTGGAACATTTCTGCAAAATTGTTGTAGTAAGTAGTAGTTAAATTACTTCCTGTTGACCTGTTGGTGCGGCAGGATCACGTTTGACGTATCTCGTGTTGTTTTTCATTAAAAAAACAGTAAGATTACATGTTATATAATAAGTGCAATTCTAATTAAGTTTTTTTAATAATTTTGGTGGGTTTGTTTTTGTCTGCAGGATTTTCGGTTTTAGTGAAAAATGGATTTAGCACCGAGCACTTCGTCACAACTTTCCCAGGTAAATGTAAATATTCGTAATACTTGTAATCTCGTAAATTTTTTAGTCAAACAGCAGAATTTTTCAAGTCATTCATATGAAGATAAATTATATATAGTTAAAGTAGTAAAACGACCTATTCCAGATTTAAGTAAACATCTTGTTTCTATCGGTGGCGTCGGAAAACCAAATCGGGGATTTCAAAATGCATGGTACGAAAAGTTTGACTGGCTTACGGGTAGTATAACATTAAATAAATTGTTTTGTTGGCCATGCATTTTATTTGCCACAGCTAATACTAGCGACAAAGTTTGGTTCAAAAATGGTTATACTGATTTGAAAAATTTGTCTCGGAGTCTATTGTTACACAATAAAAGTTCTCAACATATTACATCGAATTGCAAGCTTACTCTTATGAGAAAACAAAAGCAAAATATCGCTACAGCACTAGACAATTCGCGTAAAATAGATATTGAAAATTTCAATGCTAGGGTTAAAGAAAATCGGCAAATTTTAAAAAGCCTTACAGATATTACGTCACACCTCTGTATGCAAGAGTTACCGTTTAGGGGGCATGATGAATCTAATGAATCTTTAAATTGCGGGAATTTCAAAGAGCTAGTTGTTCTTGTTAGTAAATTTGACACTAATTTAAAAACATTTTTAGAACATGATAATGACTCTAGATCAGTTTTTTCTGGGACATCTAAAACCATACAAAATGAATTAATCGATTCAATTGCTTTTGTTATAAATAAAAAAATTGAGGAAGAAATTTCAAAATCATTATTCTTTTCCTGGCAGGTGGATGAGACTACTGATATAAGCTGCCATTCACAACTATCCGTTATTTTTCGTTACGTAATAAACAATAAACCAGTCGAACGATTCATAGGATTTTACGATGTAAGTTCCGGGCGTTCTGCTCAAGATTTATTTGAATTTTTATCTACCAAATTTGATCGTGAAGAAGATGGCACTAGATTAGCAGTCGCCATTTATAACACTTACTAACAAATCTCCCAGATAAAAAATACCTACTAACCCCCAAAAAAATATAAAAATCCCAAAAAAATTAATAAAAAATATATAAATTCAAAAAAAATATAAAATAATAAAAAATTCACAAAAAAATTATAAAAATACAAAAAGGCCACGGGAGAGGCCACCTAGATCCTTGAGGCTACAACTTGGCCGCTAACCAAGGTGCAGGTTCGAGGATTACAGCTCCCTCGTTTTTCGTTCGCTTTTATCTCACGATATGAGATTTCATGATAAACGGGAGTAAGTCGCTTAACGACACCTTGGGTATGATTTAAGTTACATTTATGAGCACCCTATTACACATGGTGCTCATAAATACAGCTCAATCGCGGACTTTTTCAAAAAGCAGTCAGCCCTTATGTTGCACCTTCAGTGCACATAAGGGAGGGTGGAGGAGGGCTTAGGAGAGCTTTGAGGTGAGGATGACTTTTGTTGATCCGCGCGCGTATCGTCAGAAGTCCTTCTCACGCCAAGTCATTGTTTGCTGGCGCGAGCAATGCCTCCTTAGCCGGGTATGACTGGAG